GGGGGGTAGGTAAGCGACGGTATAACATTAAATTGTGGAAGACCTTCACAGACTGCTTCAATTGTTTACCTGTGGCTGCCATTGTAGATGAGAAAATCTTCTGCTGTCATGGAGGTGGGCCTTGTTAATACGTGACTTTACGAAGCCTAAACCATTTGATCCAAGAAGCAAATGTTGGCACATATTTATTTATTTTTCAAAAATGTTTCCTCTCTCAGGCCTCTCTCCTGATCTCCAGTCAATGGAGCAGATCCGCAGAGTTATGCGACCCACAGATGTGCCTGACCAGGGTTTGTTGTGCGACCTGCTGTGGGCTGACCCAGACAAAGATGTGCTCGGCTGGGGTGAAAACGACCGTGGAGTCTCCTTCACATTCGGTGCAGATGTGGTGGCCAAATTTTTGCACAAACATGACATGGACCTAATATGCAGGGCGCATCAGGTAATGTTTACTAAATTCATCTTTGTATAGTACATTTCAGACTCATTGACTGACACGATGCATTGTGTGGCTGTGTTTTAATAGGACTAATCAGAGGCATTTGTAGTGTTTTTCTTACCATATTTAAAAAATACAAGGAAGGAAAAATACTACACCTCCAAGCAAAACTATGATAAATAATTTAATTAGTATTTTCAAATGTTTTCAGAAAACGGGACGTGAACTGTAGATTATGAAGATGCATTAGCTAACTTCAAAGCTGTGACAAAAACATCTAAAACAAAAACAAAAATAAGCCCCAGACCAAACAAACACTGGTGGAAATACTTATAAAGCAAACTGTGAGGGTGTTTCAATGTAGGTATGATATATTCTATTTTTTAACAATGCCTGAGTGACATAACATTAAACTATAGATCTGATTCTTGAATGGCACTAGCCTCTATTTTTTTGTTTAAATTTTTTTTACTATGTAACATTGATGGTTTCCTTTTGGTCTTCAGGTGGTTGAAGATGGTTACGAGTTTTTTGCAAAGAGGCAGCTCGTCACTCTGTTCTCCGCTCCCAACTACTGTGGAGAGTTTGACAATGCTGGTGCCATGATGAGTGTGGATGAGACGCTCATGTGCTCCTTCCAGGTGTGGAGAACAGAACTAATAACTTTTCGGGAAACAAATTTGTTTCGTTTAGTAGTTTCACACTAAAATGATACAATATATGGCTCGCATATCGATTCATGTAGTGATGGTAGAATTTTAATTGTAATTAACTATAAAATTAGAGTTCACTGTGTGTGTCTGTCGATCTAATTGATTACTTCTTTGTCCATCTCACAGATCCTGAAGCCAGCAGATAAGAAATTATATCCTTACGGTGCTGGGGGAGGAATGGGATCAGGGAGGCCGGTCACCCCTCCGCGAAATTCAGCCAAGGCCACCAAGGCCAAGAAATAACACCCACTGGGTCCACTTCCCACAACCTGCCACCCCCTGTTGGCCCAATGCTTCTTTTTTTGTTGTTGTTTTATTTCTCCTCCTCTACCTCCCAAACCTTTGTCTCCCTTGTCACCAAATGGCAACAAAGAAACCAAGTGTCCAGGGTTCAATCATGTTTTTTCTCACTAAAACTATTTTTAACTGTTCGTTTGGTTGACTGGTTGAATTTTGCGTGAATGAGTGTGTTTAAAAAAAAAAAAAAAAAAAAAAGTGTGAATGATGCAGAGGGAGCTTCTGTGTTCTGTACGTATGTTTTCTGCCTCTTCCTGTGCCCTGCGTTTGGTTTTCCTGTCATTTTGTAGAGGTGGGCTCTGCCCATCCTTCATATAAGCTCAAACCTTGCAGAGGAGGAGTAAAAAAGGGGTGGGGGGGTGGGGGCTTAGCTGTTTACAGTAAGGCCTGCACTGTTTGATGTTAAACACAAGCTTTTGTACATCCTGTCTCTGAGGTCCGTGTATCTCTGTGTTATGTGATGGGTCGGGAGGGGGTTGCTGGGTTTTTGGGGATCAAGTTGCACGGTCATACGGTAACGGCACATACCACACACTGGGTGCACGGGTGGATATATGTGCAGGTGAGTCCTTAAATGAAATGGATTCACAATAATATATATATATTTTTCTTTCCTCTTCCATTTTTT